TCTTGGTGATTTTGGGAAGACAACAATTCTTCTCGTACGATGATAACAACGAGATAAGTGTGAGATAATTTGTACTTATCAATGAATAAAATAAAATATAAAAGTATCAGTGAATAAGATAAAAGAGCCAATGCTTGGACACTCTAATAACACTGGTATCTAATTCTGAATATTCTTATTGTCTTTTGGTCTTTTTAAATTTAATATTTATTTAACTTTGAATATATAGAATATACATACATACACACATATATATATATATATATATATATATATATATTCCACCTTAAAGATATAATTACTCGTATTTGTGAAAACCAAGAAAATAAGAATGTTCATACTGAGAAAAAATACGTAAAAATTTATCTGTGTAATATAAAGTTGATTTATGTGAAACAAAATTTATTTCTACGAATAAACTGCATATCTCACGAATAAATTTTTAAGAATTTTTTCTCAGTGCAGAATTAGGCGTTTCTAGTAACAGTGTTAATAGTACCCAAACATAGGTATTTTCACGATATGCTATTTAGCAGAAAACGCGAAACGACCTGGACTGAGATGACTTGCTTTCGTCGGCAGAGCGTAGTAAAGTCCTACACGCGGTCGTCGCCGTCGCCGTGCCGGCAGGAAGTGCACTGACAACGGCTGGCCGACGAAGCGCTGCACAAAGTAGTTTATATTGAGATAATCGGGCTAACTATCGCGTGTATGTGTGTGTCGCGTCGTACCGGGTCTATCAGCGGGCGACCTACATCGTTGGAGGAAATCATTCGACGCGGTTGACGCGGTCGCGGTACGCGGTGACGTAAGTGCGAAGTTCAAGTCGCCCGCGGACGTGGCGACCTACTCGGAAAACACTATTCCCAGCCGCGAATTATTTAATTCCGAGGGGGGAATTTAAACTGTTGATCGATCGGCCCGTTCGACGGAAATTGTGTAATCTAATATTTATTGGAGGAGAATCGAATATTTATATTTTTCTTGCTGGAATCGCGACAAGGGATGGTAGATCGGAATGGATTACGCAACGTACTTGTTCCAAACGCGTAAAATATGGCAACGACGGTCGGTTATACCGATTGTTGCTTTTGACGAAATTCCAGAATGTGTCATATAAAAGTGTCGCCCTCCCAATGCAGATATATAAAATTGTTTAAGAATGTTCAGAATTTTAAATATCATAACACTGGTTGCTTTTCAGTAAAAGACAGTAAAGTCGTTTCATTGATTCTAGATATTATCTATTTCATAGAGATAATCTAAAGATGATGTCTAGCCAATGAAACGACTTTGTGTGTCTCACTGAAAAACAACTATATTATGACGTAGTATAATACGTATAAATAATAAATATTGTCATGACATTATAAATAGCATGTATACGAAGATAAAAATAGTATAACAGCATAATATGGCACATATATATCATCATCATAATTATCATCATGGCATAATATAAATAACAGTCATGTTATAAATTGCAAGATAAAATAAAAACTACTACTACTCCAAGTCAAAAATTTGTTTCTACATTGACCCTGTAAATTTCATCCAAGATCCACAACCGGGAATCTCGAGATATAATATTGTGTAGTTATCGTTCTCCTTTGATGCCTCGGAATTATTTAATGTTTGAATACCTTAGTGATCTACCTGCATTTAATCTTTACTCGCAATTTCAATAAAAATGTATTAATTACGTAACTTACTCAACTGCAGGTAGATATATGTGCGACAAATATCAAACAATCTAATTAACAAAATAATCTAATAAGAAAACAATCTAATTTGAATTAATAAAGTAACACTCCTTTGTTTGCAATCTCTATTTGTTTTTATTCTTGTTGAAAACTCGGATAGAATATGGAGATTCAAAAAGGAAGAGTTTTAAAGACGAAAGTGGCAGTTGTGTGTCCGAAAGCATCAATGGAGATTTAAATTTCTTGGACTCAATGAAATAAACAAGTAGAATTGAACAGAAATGAGTAGATTAAACGAAAGTGAAAAGAATGCGTTGGGAGATTTGACTTGTGTCCCAGAAAGCATTATTAAAGATATAAATTAATATCTGCGTGTGAAATTTACGACAACCAAAAAAATATAACCTCATCCTCAGCGAAATCCTCTTATATCCCCAAGAGAAAATTCTTCCAAAACCAAAAGAAAAATAGTCTAATATCTAAAAAAAAGAACTTCGCTATTTCTTACAACTTTATATTTTAATAAAAATTTTTATTAAAAAAGTATTCCTCTTCTGACGAGGAGTGAACTATTATAATCGGACATCTACTAGATATTACTAGATCTAACTTTTTTCTTCTGAACAAGTTTACTCGAAACAGAATGTCCTCTTATACGAAAGACGCGACGAGCAAGACTTGTGCTGCAGATCAGAGATGAAATTCCTCGAACTTTAAGAATACTTTGCTTTTGGTTTTAGAAGAATCCTCTTGAAGCCATACATAAGAGGATTCCACTGAGACATTCCGTTGAGATCTTACATTTAATTTTACGGATGTATACTTTTTTTTGGATGGACAGAAAGACTTCAAATTTCAACTCGGAATAGCTCTTTTCGCTCGAAACTAATGCGATTTACGTCTACGCATGCACTACGTAATAAAAATGCTCAGTGAGCGTTGGATTGCACGCTCACCATTCGATGTCGAGAAGTCCATCGATGTCCGGAATAATCCACCGCCTTCTAAGGTGGTCCATTATCGTCCAAGCAAGTCCACTGCAGCACTCGTTATTCTGCCGAATCCAACATTGTCCCAGGTCAATCAGCACTTCACTCGCGTCGCGATTAATATTCATACTCTCGCGGCGATCGAGAAGTTAACGACAGCGCCGATAAAGCGGAACGAAGTTCACGAATTTGATTGACAAAAGAAATCGACGCGTACTTCGTTTGACGAATGTCTGTCGCAGCACATTTCCAGAGCACATTCGCCATTCGTGCGGGATGTCATTGCGAATGCTAATAAGTGACATCTCGTGTATGAAAACCGGAAGTTTCCATACTGAGAGAAAAAATATTCAAGTATAGCGGATATTTATTTGATGGTTACTAAACAGTTATTAATGCAAAATATTTAGTTATTAATGCAAAATATTTTTCAAATAAGATATACTTTTTCTCAAGAAGACCTCAATTTTTCGTGAAAACAATTATACTTATTTTATTTAAATAAGAGAATTTTAATTGAAGTGAATATGCTGTTATACTCGCCAAAAAAATATTTACTAATTTTCAGATATTTTTTTTCTCTCAGAATGTAAGAAAGAAACAAAAAGTAATAAAAACATCTTATTAAAGTTAGAATCCTCAATTTTGTTATTGAATATCTCAAAATTAAATAATGCGATTTTTGTAAAATTTACTTTTCTCCGAATGACCGAATTCTTCCGTATTCTTCGGTTTGTTTAGACTCCCAAACGACAGAGCCAATGACGTTTTCAACAATTCGAGAGGAAAAGAATTCCGAGTGTACCGAATTGAACATCCGAAAATAGAGGTGTTGGCAAATACGAGGCATTCGCTCAGCTATCCACATGCAAAAGCAGACACTGTGTCAGACAAGTGTCTACACGCTAAAGCGCCTAGTTCATGTCTATCGTTAAACGATAAACTTCGGCGTTGATTGTTGCGACACATTCGCAAGTCGCATGGCGTTGTGTGTGAAATTGAACACCGAGGAACGCGGGACGATCGCAAATCGATGAGTTCGTTCAACAAAGATCTGTCGCGGCAGGACAAATCTCGATGTTTCCGGAAAATGCTCGCGTCTCTCGTGCGAGCGTTGTTTGCAAATCAAATACTAATGATCGTGACGATCGCGAAACCGAAGAGTTTAACGAGTATCCGTCGTTATATTTCAGCGTTTCTGAAATATAAACTCGTGCGAGACGCAGAATTGGAAGCTGAAAATCGCGAAATGATCGCAAAATCGACGAGCCTGTTTAGAGAATGTCTGTCGCGATACGATAGATTTCAGTGTTTCTCAAACGAATTCACGACCCGTGTGGGAGACTACGTGTCCAACTGGAAACCGTGGACCATGACAATTGCGAAATCAAAGCGTTCTCGCGAGCAAAGCAACTGCGAAACGCGAAACCGTGACGTATGGAGCCGTTGTGTCGGCTCGCCTCGGGATATTTCGTTCCCAAAGTTTGCTCTCACGATATTAGAATTAACGTAACGACCTAACGTTTATCTTTATTCGCGGGATATAATCGCGACATGAACGCGCGTTCAACAAATGTGGCGAGCGCGACAAGCGAATTTGTTAACGCGGATCAGAACGATCGCGAGCTCCACTCGCGGTGGTGCAATTCTGATGCGCATTACACGCTGCCCAAAACGATTAGAGGACACTGAGTGAATATAATTTCGTTGAATAATTCCACAATCCAAACAAGATAGGGGAACAAATTGTTAAACAAGCGTTGCGTTTACGCGCGTTTAAACGTACTCATTGGAAAATTAAATGAAAGAAATCAAGATTATGCATTCGTTATTTCAAATATCTATCGAGTAACACGAATGATAAAACAGAATGACCTACTCTGAGAAAAAATATTTAATATTTGTTGCTATAATCATATAAAAAAATAATTGCCATAAATTATGGTCAAGAAAACAGTTTTTTTAACTACTATACTCTTATGTTACTATAATGTGAGAGAAAATATGAGAATAAAATAAAATAATCTACTATAATGTTAGCGATAATAACTTTATATATGCGTTAGAATAACCGAAATTATACGGTGTAAGTAAAATAACAAATTTGAATTAGATCAATCATTGCTTTCTCTCAGTGTACTAATTATCTTGAGCAGCGTTGATGATTTGACAGCACAAACACATACATGCAAAAATCTACGAGCTATGTAAATCGCATTAGTTCGAACGATATATCTAGCAAAAAAATCCGCTACCATAAATTTGTCGTACTTTTCATACTTGTTTTGCAATTCATCATTTCACTCACCGATCACCGAAGAGCAGAGCTCAGCCACGTTCGGCTGCGAGATCTGTAACAAAAAAAATGGACGATCTACTTAGGTCAAGCTCAGACATTCAACTTTAGTCGAGTTCAGAAATTCGGTTTCGCGAACAAAGGCGCATAATAGATCCGCGAACGGATTAACCCTTTGCGGCCGTAATCCGAGTGAAATTAACGGCTACGTGGCGGCGGCTTTCGGCGGCAAAGGGTTAAGAAGCGAAGTATAGAGAGGAGGTTAGGTTGCGAACTCACCTTCGAGCCGAGCTCGCTCTGCCCGAACCGGATCCTCCGGTACGGCATCCGCGTCCACTGGAGCTGCGCTTACTTGCCTTCGTCCTGCCAAAGCCCAGCCAAGTCTGAAACAAAGGACATAGTTGTTCTGTATAGTTAGCGACAGGGAGGGTTCTCTTGGTCTCTCGACAAATCGAGAATACTACATAATATTCGATACGAAGTATTGCAATTATATTATACTAGTAGTATCAAGTATACGCGGACCGTTTCTGTCTGAAGTCTAATAAGAATGAAACTCGGCGAAATAGCCTTTTAAGTGTTCAAGCGTTTGCACAGAATGTCAAAATCTCTAGAGCTTTACACAAAGAGAATATTATAGTATTTTTTTCATATAAATTCTTTTCAATTCTACTATGTTTTTAGTAGTCGAGGAAAATAGACTGCCAGTAAGATCTGTCTTGCTAACAAACATGGCAAATTTCGCTAAAAATGTAGCAAGTGTTTTAATAGCACATAATAATCCTAAGATACAAGTAGTACACATGAAATGAAAAAATAATGAATTACTGCAGAATGTCGATTCATTCCTCGGTTACAAATTTCTCTTTTGTAACAATTTTCCTAAAAAATTCTCTCCGTGTATGGTAATAAAATCCAGAAAATAATTTATCAAAACAAAACACCGTAAACCCAGACGGTAAATATACATGCCGGGCGAAACCTGTATATCAATTTATTTATTTATTTATCTTTATTTAGGTTAAATCTTAGTCGAGTTACAAACACGCCATTATATGTAAAGTGATCGACAGGTACGATCACGTGAATTTTCACGTGAAATAATGTATGAATTCGTTTCACATACCGTCTGCTCAATTTAAAAAACTTGGAAGTTTTCATTGTGTGTGCAGCGTTCAACTCGGCGTCCAAGACCGTAATGAGCGCGTGTTGTTATTATGGAGGTCGAGCGTCCCTCGGGACAACAACATACACAGGTATGCTAAAGTACCGCTACACGCTTTATTTGATCAGTTAATGTACGTTACATTAAAGTATTAATATTTCCCGTTATATTATAATAGTTAACTATTTAATACGCGTTGCAATGGATACTTATCGAATTCCCTTGTATCATAATTTTGCCAATTATTAGAATTTAATATTGCTAATTTTCAATAAATAATTGCGTTTTTCATGGCAGAATGTTCAGGAATCCTCTCTCCTAAGATTTTATAATTAAATCCAAAAATTATCATAAAATGGCGAAATATTATAAACTCAAACAATGAATATATATGTTGAATTGTGAAAGATTCTATTTTTATTCAAATTTCAAGCTATGTACGCGCAATTATTTATGAAATGGCCAATAATTACGATTGAATGTTCATTTGATGATACGATATAAATCGAATCACATACGCGGATCAACTGTATTTCTCTCTGAAATCTAGCGAAATCGAAACACAGTAATCACAATTTAAATTTCTAAATGCTTCTACTACTCAAGAAGATTTAAACACGATAAACGCACACCTGAAGTATTATAAATTTGTCTCACATACCGTCTTTGATTTAGAAAACTTCAAAATAACGCGATGTTGTATGCGTGGCATTCAAAGCCGGTATGATCGCGAGTGCGTGATGTATGTTGTTGTGCCGAAAGACGAGTGTCCTTCAGAATAATAACACACGTAAGTATACACAATGGCACCGTTACACACGTTATTCTCTACGTACATTTAACGTATGCTACATTAAAATACTGATATTTTACACTACATTATAGTACTCAATTTATCATACGTTCTAGTATTATAATACTCAATCATTTAATACACGAGAACGTCCATTGTATCTCCTGCATCATCAAGATTTTATAATTACGACATATATTCCATCTAATAAAATATAAGACAAATGTAACGCAAATATACATGTCAAGAACAAGTTGATAAAATTATTAAATCTGCTTAAAGGAAACTACATCACGAAAGTCACTTCGCTACTCATGAATGTATTGCATTTACTGTGCTATATGAAATTGGAAACTATAGGAAAAGATACCTCTTTAAATATAAGATCCTGATATTCATTAAAATTTTAAGTTTCAAGTTTAATTTACGATATTAACTGCATTTAATTTAATATATGTTAAACAATTATAATACAGTTTTAAGTTGACACGTAACAAGGAAGTCTATGAATTATTAAATATTTTAACGTAAGAATTTAAATCACGACAGTATTTTCGTTAATCGTGCGCGTACTATATTTAATATTTCACGTGAAACTAAAAAGCTTTATAAAAATACTTTCTCTTTAAGATTTCGAGAATTTCAAATCGCATGTATATGTCTACGTTATATTTTTTCTAAACTAAAAAAAATAAGAAATAAGAAATATTAATTCGGTAAGTAGTAATAACATATTTACTTTTATACTATTATACTCTTATACTGATACAAAATACTCTTCAAATAAAAAGGTTTACATTTTTTTAATCTTAGCTCTTCATAAAAGCAATTGTTTATTCTGTTTAAACACAAAAGAATTTATATTTAAGTGAATATATTAATAGTATCTACCGAATAAATATTCTTTATTTTTTAGATATTTTTCCTCTCAGTATATTGTATTAAATCGAGTTTTAGCACGGTCTAATCGCATCGAGAATATATTTCCTCTTTGAATTTATCAAAAATAAGATGCGCGCATTCTGGCAAACTCTTGAAATTTAGAGACGCTCCTCCAACATGAAGGATTAAACGGAGGAGCGTGGTGAGTGTATGCAAACCTACCTTCGAGAAGACTCCGTTCGGGCCAAACCGGATCCTCTAGTGCTGCATCTGCATCCGGCGGAACGGCATCCCCGGAACTGCATCTGCCACGTGGCCGCAAGCCGCATACTGCTAAATCTAGAACAGAAAAGAAATATATTACCTAATTAGTTACGGTAAAAGAACAATTACTCGGTTCGCGAAGAAAGTTCCGACCGCGAATCTTTTCAAAACTTAACTAAAAACAAATGCTGCTTTCCGGATCAATTGTTACTTGATAAATTCCACGATGCTCCCACGCTCGTGACAATCTCGGCGAATCGATCGCGACGCGAATTTTCTAAAAGACAAATACATAAAAAGTCACAAAACTAACGCTCCGAATTGCAAATTCGAGTCAAACCTACGCACTAGCTTTTAACACGGACTCGTAATCAATGTCCGCTTCAAAGCAAGCACGAAAACTAATGTCTTTCGTACTTGCACTCAGTCAAACTATTTGATCTTTGTTCCGCAGAAACACGATTTCACGTTCATCGGGAGCGCGGTAATTTTCCCTTTCCCATGGTCTTTGTTTCAAGTCGCTACGACGTCTACAAGTGAACTTACCAGCGATTTTATCGATCCGCGCTTTAGATCACTCGGCGCGAGCGCTGAATACGTGACGACGCGACGCGTGAATGGAATGCGGAGCGCGACTACTCTCTCCCCGCGCGGTCACCTCTATGTGGCACGCGCCGTCACGCACTGGTACGGTACGTTACCCCCCCCCCCCCCCC